AAGAGGAAAGCCATCAGGTCCAGGACTCAAACTGTGGTTGGCCATGTGGGAGTGTCTGGTGCCCTAACCACCACCTCCTGGTCCCCAGGGTGGTTTTTTCTTTTTTTTTTTTAATTTACTTAGAACTGTGGTCGGCCATGTGGGAATTCCAGCACCTTAACCACCACACCAGTTGCTGGCCCAGGGTGGTTTATTCTTAAAAACAAGCAGAATCTAGACTAAGTGGTAGTGTGATGGTTAAGGAGGCAGGATCCCCCATGACCCATTGAACAGTTCGAGTCCCAGACCTTTCAGCTTATAAAACACACTAACTGCGTGTGTGTTTGTACCCAAAATCCCAAGAAGAATGTGGAGGAGAAGGGAGTGTCATAGCCAGTCCCATTCAGGACTTCTCTCTCTCTCTCTCTCTCTCTCTCTCTCTCTGTGGTGAGCCCTATCGTACACAAAAAAATTATTGCTGGTATAGTCAAAGCTTCCTTCTCTCCCCTTCGCAGCGATGGCTCTAGGATTAGAGTTGCAGTGCCTGAAAGATGAGGCATTTGCCCTCAGATGCTGCAGAGGAGTGCTCTGTGGCTGGTGGGAAGAGATTGGCATCTGGAGACGGGCACTCTCCCTAGAGAGCTTGTGGCTTTAGGGGCTGTGGGCCCCTTGAAGTCACTGGGCAGGAGTCAGCCTGTCTCCTGGGGCCAGGCCTGCTGCACTCAGAGCACTTTGGAGGCACTTTACCGTGGAGACAGGACAGCCTGGGTGTGGATACAGGTACCTGTGCACCTCAGGTTAGTGTGACCTTAGCAGAGCACAGAAGCCTCCATCCTCATTATAGTTCCAAGGAGTTGTAGGAGACAAAGTTAAGAAAAGTAGTCCTTGGGACCAGCAGTTTAGGGTAATGGCTGTGTCACTGGGCTCCCATGTAGTCGACCATGGTTTGAGTCCCAGACCCAGCAGCTTGAATTCACACCGGGCGCGTGTGCGTGCTTGCCCAAGATCCCAAGAGGAGAATGGAGGAGAAGGGATTGTGGCGTGGCCATCCCCCCTGGGGGGTGATTTCTCGCTTTCTAGCTCTCTCTCTCTCTCTCTCTTTCTGGTGAGCGCACGCGCCCTGTAGCAAAAACCTCTCACTCCCCCCCCCCCGCAAAAAAAAAAGTAGTCCTGTAGTATTTGACCATAACCCTGACTTTTTCCAGGCAGAAAGCTAGGAAAAGAAAATATATCTTGGGGGGCTGGTGGGTGGCATGGTGGTTGCGGGCGCTGGACTCCCACATGGCCAACCACAGTTCTGGTCCTGGACCTGGCAGCATGCTTTCTCATTCTCTCTCTTTCTCTCTCTCTCTTTCTCACTCTCATACTCTTATTCTCACTCTTTCTCTGTCCCTTTCTGGTCAAATTAAAATAAATAAATGAATGGCTCTAATCTTAGGGCCATCATTGCTAAGGGGAGAAAAAGTGAAGTTAAGTGAAATAATTCTTTCAAAAGAAAAGAAAAATTTCTTCCTTTCAAAAGAATTTAAAAGAAAATATATCTTGGGAGCAGCAGATAGTGT